GTGTGTGTGTGTGTGTGTGTGTGTGTGTGTGTGTGTGTGTGTGTGTGAGAGAGAGAGAGAGAGTGAGAGTGAGTGAGAGACACCCTTGAAAAGGCAGCAGACTGCATCTTAAAAATCAATCATTTCTTTATTTAAATCTCGATTTAATGAAGTAAAAAATTCAAATCTCAAGCTAGTGATTGTAACAAACTGTAGGGAGTGAATTATTGATTAGACCTGTTAATGAATGTAGTGTATTAATTAATTAGCTGATTTAACATGCTCCTCCCCTTTCTCTCAGGTGTAAGGCAGTGATTGACAGCCGAGGACAGCGAATCAGCTGCAGCCATTTTGTTGTGGAGGATGGCTTTGTGGGGGTGGATTGTAAGAGGCTGGCCACGCCCACCAGGTCAGGACCCGTCGATCATTATCAAAGCAGCAACCTCACACCCTAACTACCACCAACAAACATAATAACCTGTCTCTCTCTCTGTCTGTCTCTCTATCTCACTGTCTATCTGTCTGTCTCTCTTCAGGTTTCTCTCCAGAGCTGTTCTGATAACTGACGGCTCTATTCTGCCCAGTAACTCTGACCAACAGGTAAATCATGTTCATAAAACATTCTAATTTGTTTATTTTATCTAATAGTTTGATGTTCTGGTCGCTCTTTATTATTATTATTATTATTATTATTATTATTATTATTATTATTATTATTATTATTAGGGCCCGAGCACCGACAACGTCGGGCCGCGAGGTCCCTATTGAAACTGTAGGAATTATTATTAATATTCTCTTGAATGAAACGCCTTTTTGGGGGCTTTATCATGTCCCCAACCTCCCCATATTTGGCAAGCATATCAGGACTGCGGGAAAATTTGATATTTGATATCCCATGCTCGAGCATGAAAAAATTGCTCGCTAGCGCCCCCTAGAATTTAGCCCCCTCATCCCGTATGTCCAATTAACTTGAAATTTTACACAGGCATGCCACCAAATGAGGTCTACAAAAAAGCCTCTTGGACCCCTAAGCTCCGCCTACCAAAATTTTCCGCCATTTTGAATTTTGTGAAAAACCCATTTTTGCAACCATTCCTACACGCTGAGTCCGATTGCTACTAAATTTGCTGTGGATCAGTATTGGATCTATATAATAACATTGTATCAAAACATGTTTGATATCTCATTACGTTTAGAAGATATGGACCAATGAACTTCATAAGGCGTGGCTTTGTTTTTCAATACTCATAACTTCAAAACCATCTAACCTATAATCGCAAAATTTGTCTCATATGTGCACATCGTATATTGTTACGTACCCTACAATTTCATTCCATTCATCTACTTGGGAGCCATACAGTAGTTGAGCCATTATTGGCATTTTTGTCAATTTTCATCGTTGTCAGACGTACTTTAACGAACTCCTCCGACAAAATTCATGCGATCGACTTCAAATTTGGTCAAGATGATCTAAAGATATTAATGATGAAAAGTTAGTAAAATGGTCTACTGACATTGAATGACCTTCATTTTATGTGGCGCCCATTGCCGTGGCAATGCGTCATTCACCATGAAAAATGAAGCTTATTTTTCTGTGGCTTAGGATGTTCAGCAAGCCTTGGAACTTTGCACAGGTGTCATAAGTGATGTAAATAAATATTTCATATGGCTTTTTGGGTTGACCGTTGAAAATTGATCGCGCCCCCTACGAATATTCAAAAACTCAGCCCCAGCGTTACGTTTGACCTACATATATGATATTTGGTAGGGACATGTATCACTGTTAAAAAACAGTCTCTTGGGACCATGCTCTAAAACCAACCGGCCATTTTGATTTTTGTGTGGATTTTCCCATGATTTCTAGTCGCTGTACTTTAACGAACTTCTCCTAGGAACTTTGTCAGATCCACTTCAAATTTGTTCAGTATAATCTAAAGACCTTTGCAATTAAAAGTTACTCAAAGCTTTACGTTTGATTGAATGGCTTAGCCGTGACATGGCGGCCATTGTACGTGATTCGCCATTAAACAACAAGTTGATGTAACTCCACTGGACTTGCTCAAATATGTCCCAAACTTGCCATACTTGATAACAGTCATGACCTGAGGATGTCTACAAGCCAATTTTCACTCAGTCATAGCGCCACCTACTGGCAACAGGAAGACAGCGTTATGTGACAAACGGAATCAGATTTACATGACATTTACATGATGTGGTCTATACTTGATGTAGAGCAACATAATGCATGTTTGCGCATGTTCTCTTGCGCCACATAGTGGATACAGGAACTGGTGTAATATTTGCACTACATAATTTCCAGCGTCACACAGTCCACGCTGGAAAAATCGTTGAACTCCGAGATGCGTTATCTGATGGTCAAAGACATTTGCGGCCGCATCGGCCGGCGTCCCGCCAGTACCCCCGAGACACGGGAAGGTGCGAGGGCCCGTACATCGCTGCTTGCAGCTTTAATTATTATTATTAGGGCCCGAGCACCGACGTAGTCGGAGCGGAGGACCTATTGTTTTTCGATTGTTTATTACTATTATTATTAGGGCCCGAGCACCGACGTAGTCGGAGTGGAGGACCTATTGTTTTTCGTATGTTTATTATTATTATTATTATTGTTATTAGGGCCCGAGCACCGACGTAGTCGGAGCGGAGGACCTATTGTTTTTCGATTGTTTATTATTATTATTATTAGGGCCCGAGCACCGACGTAGTCGGAGCGGAGGACCTATTGGTTTTCGTATGTTTATTATTATTATTATTGTTATTATTTTACAAGTTTCGTCGCAAAAAGGAGGTGCTTGGGATACTGGAAAACTTCTGAAATTTAGCACGCAAGGCAGAATTTGCGAAAATTGCAGTCTGATTGGGGTGTCCAGCTACGGTATGAAATATTGGCTCAATAGCTCCCCCTATTGAGTAGTCCCAACATTGGGTTTCACCTAGCTGTATGAAATTTGGTAGGTATGTGGAACGTGATGGGACATACAAAAAATCCTCTTGGAATTTTTCTCTAAACCAAACAGGAAGTCGGCCATTTTGAATTTGATGACGTTTTTTGACCGTTTCAAGGCGTCATACTTTAACGAACTCCTCCTAGAGATTTGACCCGATTGACTTCAGATTCGGTCAGTATGCTCTTGAGACCTTGGCAGTGAAAAGTTACTCAAAGATCAAAAAGTTATCGAACTATGTATCCGTGGCCATACATTGTCGAATCTACTCCAAATCTCTCATATGTCATAACATCCTGACCTGGAACACATCTATATGATAATTTAGAATCATAGTAATAGCGCCACCTAGTGGCAACTGGAAGTTGTACGTTTTGTACTTTGACATCCTGCTCCTCACAGATTAATCAAATCCCTCTCAAATGTTGTCAGAACAGCCTTAAGACCTTGATAATGCTTCATTGTGAAAATCGTAAGAAGTTGTTGAAGGGCGGCGACGTGGCGGTTCGGCAAATTTCGATCCTTCGCCATGAATGAATAAACTGATGTAACTCGACTCCACATCATCAGATCTTTACCAGATTTCACAGGTTTGATGAGACTCCAGGCCTGAAGACATCTGCAGGCCAATTTTGAATCATAGTCATAGCGCCACCTACTGGTAACAGGAAGTTAAAGTCTTTATACTTTGGCTTGTTTCTCTTAGTAGGTAAATCAAATCAATATCAAATTAGTTCCACACAAATATAAGAAGTTCATAATGCCAGTTCATGAAGCTTTTGATGTTTTGTCGAACGCCGTTGCCGTGGCGATGCAGTCTTTGCCGTTAACAACGAAGGTAATTTTGAGAGGCTAAAAATGCTCGAAACATAAGCAAACTTGGCAAGCAGATTACAAGCCCGAAATGTAGTTATATAATATGATTTTATTGGTTCAGACTGGCAAATCGGCTCAATAGCGCCCCCTTCAAAATTTCGATGACGCAGCCCTCGCAGTATGTTTGACCTAGATGTATGAAATTTGGTAGGAACATGTATCACATATGGAAATAAAAATCTCTTGGGGCCATGCTCTAAACCCAACCGGAAGTCAGCCATTTTTAATTTTTTATGAATTTTTAGTGTTGTTTTTGTCATTTCCAGGCGTTGCACTTTAACGAATTCCTCCTAGGGAAATAATCAGATCAACTTCAAATTTGGTCGGTACAGTTTAAAGACCTTTGTGATGAAAAGTTACTCAAAGCTTGTTGTTTCGTGAAAATCTGTTGCCGTGGCGACGCATTCTTCACCATGAACAATTAAGGCGTTTTTGAGAGGCTAGACATGCTCGAAACATAAGCAAACTTGGCATACACATTTAAAGCCCAAAATGTAGTTATATAATATGATTTTATTGGTTCAGAGTGGCAAATCGGCTCAATAGCGCCCCCTACAAAATTTCAACGAAGCAGCCCTCGCTGTACGTTTCACATAGATTTACAAAATTTGGTAGGCACATGTATCACATGTGGACTTAAAATAAAGTCTCTTGGGACCATGCTCTAAACCCAACCGGAAGTCAGCCATTTTGAATTTTGTATGAATTTCTCGTGTTTTTTTCCATTTCCAGGTGCTGTACTACGAACTCCTCCTAGGGAATTAATCCGATCAGCTTAGAATTTGGTCAGAACAATCTAAAGACCTTAGCGAATAAAAGTTACTCAAAGCTTTAGGTTTCATCGAACGACGTGGATATGGTGTGACGGCCATTTTACATGGTTCACCATCATCCATGTAACTCGACTGTACTTTGTCAAAACTGTCCCAAACTTGACATGCTTGTTGACTGTCATGGCTTTAGGACTTCTACATGCCAATATTAACTCATAGTCATAGCGCCACCTACTGATAAGCACGGACGTAAGCAGGATTCTATAATTACAGCGGCCCAAACACTGAACTTATTGAAAGGGTTTGTGGGCACACCATGAGAAAAGAATGACTTCTCTGATCTAAATATGTGCAAACTAAGATGCTTGGAGAGCAGAAATTAGATAAAAGTGGTTGTCAAGCCACTGTCGGTGGGCATTAGCATAAATGATCTGTCCATCATGAATGAATGCTTCACACTACAATCTAAAGTTGCAGAAGAACTTAAAATGAAAACAGTGTTAAATTAAAGTGTTCAAGTAAAAGCAAATGGCACTACTATTTTGTTAACTTTCATGTAAGTCCAAATACAATCAGCAGGACACTGCAGGGAGTTGAACCCCATCCCAGTAAACTGACAGTCTGTTATGTTACAAACACTGAAGCACATTCACACACATTTATTTTTTTCTTAATGATCTTAACAGGCTTACATTTATGATTGTATCGGAGGTACACTCAAAACATTTGAGGCTTAAGACCTGGCAACATGATCTTGCTACGCTGCTGGTCTACGCAGGAAATATCATCTAACTGTGTGATAGTCACAGAAATTCATGGCCGCGTCACCCAGAGTCCTGCCAGTACCCTCGACGTGCGTGAATTTGCGAGGGCCCAATCAATGCTGCTCGCAGCTTTAATTATTATTATTATCATTAGTAATTTTATTATTATTTGGTTATAAATTGTAATTGGGAAGGTTGAATGGCAGTTTTTCCCTGAATTTGATGGCCATATATTTAATTTTGTAAAAATAAACACGTAGACTTCAGGTATATCTCAGCAGGTAGACTTCAGGTAAACTACAGGTAGACTACATCTAGACTTCAGGTAAATTACAGGTAAACTACAGGTAGACTTCAGGTACACCTCAGGTAGACTTCAGGTAAACTACAGGTAAACTTCAGGTACACCTCAGGTAAACTACAGGTAAACTACAGGTAAACTTCGGGTACACCTCAGGTAAACTACAGGTAAACTTCAGGTAGACTTCAGGTAAACTACAGGTAGACTTCAGGTACACCTCAGGTAAACTACAGGTAGACTACATCTAGACTTCAGGTAAATCTCAGGTAAACTACAGGTAAACTACAGGTAGACTACATCTAGACTTCAGGTAAATCTCAGGTAAACTACAGGTAGACTTCAGGTAAACCTCAGCAGGTAGACTTTGGTACAGTCTAGAAGCTTCAGGTCAGAGGTCACTGTGTCCTCTAGCCCCAGTGCATTATGGGATTGATGTTAATGAATATCAGAGAAGTGAGGAAAAGGATCAGAAAGAAAGTCGGAGCCACTCAAATATATTTTAGTCAATTACTGAAGAAAATCAGAAACCCAAATTCATCCGTCTGCGCACACACACGCACACACACTTCACTAATTAGGTGTGTGTTAAATATTGAAATATTGAATTAAATTTGGTCAGAGAATTATGATGCCTCATAGATCTTCTGCTGTGTGTGTGTGTGTGTGTGTGTGTGTGTTAGCCTGCAGTGTTCAGTAATAAGATGAAACTAATCTGCTCTTCAACACTGATGAGGTTCTTCATTAACAACCGGTGTCTGTCTCTCTCTCTGTCTGTCTCTGTGTCTCTCTCTCTCTCTCTCTCTCTCTCTCTCTGTCTGTCTCTCTGTCTGTCTCTCTCTCTGTGTCTGTCTGTCTGTCTCTCTCTCTGTCTGTCTGTCTGTCGTCAGGTCTCCATGATAACGGTTCCTCCAGTAGCAGCAGGGTGTCCTACGGTGAAGATGGTGGAGCTCTGTCCGTCCACCATGACCTGCATGCCGGGAACACGTGAGGCTCAGATATCTCCTCTAATGTTTTTACTTTCTTTATATCTGTTCAGTTGTTATTAAATAATACGTATTAAAATATATGAAAGATGAAGACGATCGTCTGGAAATCCTCCAGCGTCCTTGAGAAAACTGATGAGAACAGAAACACTGATTAATGACCAACACACACAGTGGAGTGTGTGTGTGTGTGTGTGTGTGTTCCGCCTGTCAAACCACCATCATCATCATCTTCTTCTCCTCCTGATGCTGCCGTGTGATTGGTTATTGAGTCAGTGGGCATGAACGCCTTTAAAACACAACGCGTGTGCGTGTGTGCGTGCGTGCTTCCCTCCCGTGTCGAGGTTGAAAGGACTAATAAAGTTTTCTGTCTTTGCTACATTATAGTTAAAGCTTTGACATGACGTCCGTTCTGATTGGTTCACTTCGTTGATGGTTGTGATGCTCAGATAATATTGACCTGGTTCTGAATAATAATGATGTCACGTCTTCAGAGCGTAACATTAAATATAATATATAAAAATATGATTGTATGTAAATTCATTGAACATAAAAAGGGTAGAAGTTAAGTTTTCAACCACCAACAATCACTTGAGTGTTAGCTTAGCTAAGGTGTTAGCAGCTGAGCTAACGGTTAGTCACTCCGTTGCCATGGAGACCGCTCAATGAAGCTTATTAAGACTTTGTTCCGTCCGTCGTAGATTTGGTTCACCTCACCTGTCAGTCAGTTGGCTCCGCCTTCGAGGACCTGTCGCCGGTGGTTACCAGGATGTTCCGCACGCCACAGTCACATGACCAAGGTAACACACACACACACACACGCACACACACACACATGGAAAATCTACAATGTTAGCTTAGCATCGATGATCAGAACTCCATCCAGAAAACAAGCATTTTAAAAGTTGTTAGCTTCATAAATCAGTCTCATGATGTCTTATTAAATCTGTTTACTACTATTAAATCAAAACAAAGCTGGTTATTTCTGGGTTCATATATATAATATTAAATATAATAATATATTATAATAATTAATATATAATGATATTATAATATATTTTAATATATGATAGTATTATAATATAATAATAATATTATAATAATAATATAATAATAATATTATAATAATAATTATAATAATAATATAATATATAATATTATAATAATAATTATAATATATAATGATATTATAATATATATTATAATAAACACAAAGTAAAAGGAGACGGAAACGTTGCCTCCTCTCTGACCTTTCTCTTTCTTTAATTCATTCATCATGTTCTTCTGTTTTTAATTATAACATGAACAACCTACACACACTCACACACAGGATGGATGGATGCAGGTATAAAGAGATTCATCACAGCTGATGGAAGAGAGAAGTTTCTGATAAACTGCAGCTTCAGCTTTTTTTGTCTTCAACATTCACACTATAATTATTATAATTATCTTTATTATTATTATTATTTTATTAAAAGAGAAAAATGAAAAATGTTTTCGTCCCCGAAGAGGGTCGTTCAGACATGAGTCCCCAAAAGGAGCATAAACGTGTTTGTGTGTGTGTGGTAATCTGACTCTTCAAGAAGAACCCGTCTGTCCTCTGGTGTCTGTACTAATACGTTATCGCTGTTGTCTGTCTGTAGAGAAGAACCCGTCTGGTCTCTGTACTAATACGTTATCACTGTTACCTGTCTGTAGAGAAGAACCCGTCTGTCCTCTGGTCTCTGTACTAATACGTTATCGCTGTTGTCTGTCTGTAGAGAAGAACCTGTCTGTCCTCTGGTGTCTGTACTAATACGTTATCACTGTTGTCTGTCTGTAGAGAAGAACCCGTCTGTCCTCTGGTGTCTGTACTAATATGTTATCACTGTTACCTGTCTGTAGAGAAGAACCCGTCTGTCCTCTGGTGTCTGTACTAATATGTTATCACTGTTACCTGTCTGTAGAGAAGACCCCGTCTGTCCTCTGGTGTCTGTACTAATACGTTATCACTGTTACCTGTCTGTCTGTAGAGAAGAACCCGTCTGTCCTCTGGTGTCTGTATTTCAACATGGCCGACGGTTCGGAGGTCAAAGGTCACGACCTCCCATCCAACGTGTTCGTGACCTTTGGACCTGACGGAGCTCTGAGTCACGAACACGCTGTCACTCAGGTGAGAGCAGCTGATTGGCTCATTACAGTGAGCGTTATTAGCATTAAGCTAACAGGACGTTCTGATCATTAATAATTGATTTGTTATGAAGAATCATTGTTAACTTGTAACTATAAATTAATACATAACTACATGTATTCATTAATTAATTTGTTTATTTATATTTTAATCATTTTTAATAAATTATAAAAATAAATTGTAATAACAAATATATATTGTGGTATTTATCGACCGTCTATCAATATAAAAACATATACACACATACATATACATATATACACACACACATATATATACACACATTATATGTAAATATATGTGTATGTATATATATATATATAT